GTGAGTCTGGCTAAAGGTTTATCAATTTTGTTTATCTTTTCAAAGAACCAGCTCTTGACTTCATTGTTCTTTCATTTTTTTTAGTCTCTATTTCATTTATATCTGCTCTGATCTTTATTATTTTCTTCTTTCTACTCACTTTGGTCTTTGTTTGTTCTTCTTTTTCTAGTTCCTTTAGGTGTAAGGTTATATTGTTTATTTGAGATTTTTCTTATTTCTTGAATAAGTAAATTCAAGTAGGCCTATATTGCTAGGAATGTCCCTCTTAGAACTGCTTTGACAGTGTCCCATAGATTTGGGGTCACTATGTTTTCCTTTTCATTTGTCTCAAAGTATCTTCAAAAGATGATTCTTGATTAAAACAACTCTTTCTCTTGCCAACTACAAATAATATACTCTAAACATGCTTTAACAGAAGTAATAAAAGTTACTTTAGATATTTCGTTTTTAAATAAACATTTTAACCACACAGTTTTCACATATTCCTTATGGCGATAGAGAAAATCCATCACACTGTAGTATACTATATGGCCAGTACAAGAAGAGGAGGAAAAAAATGCAGGAAAGCCAGCTCCTATTTGTGCCAAGCAAGAAATGGAACAAACTGTGTTCTAGTCTGTAATGTGTGTTATTGAAAACTGTAAAAATTACTTTGCTGCTTCTATAATCATTTTCATCTATAGAACCACATTATGAATGATTGCTAAAAGGATTAGCTCCTATGTTAACATAAAGATGAAATTAGCTAATGTTACAAGATCTTGAAAATTTCGTGGTTTATATTGGGTTAACTTCTCCTCTTAAATATTTGTACACTAAATGAATTCAACAATAATCAGAACAATGTATCCTGTGGTAACATTTCTCTGGGATTTAAAAAAATTAGCAAGACATTTGGATTACCTGGGTAAGCACTGCAGTGTGTTCATAACCACAGCTGATATAAATCACATCTAGACTCTTCAGCGCACCAATTGAACGAGGCTTGTAGCTTTTCACTGTTGAAAGAAAGCAGAAACCCTAGAGCAGCGGTTCTCAACCTTCCTAATGCCGCGACCCCTTAATACAGTTCCTCATGTTGTGGTGACCCCCAACCATAAAAT